CCTATACCAAAATTTAATAATTTTTAAGTTATGGTGACTTTTTGTTAAAACTCTATAAAAATCTATTACTGGCCACATCCGTTTTCGTATAGTTTACTATGAAAATCAAAAATCTTAAAATTGTTTCTCTATAAACGTCGACAGTGACGTTTTATTATTATTTTTTAGTATTATTTGACAAATGGTGCCAAAATATGGAGAGCCAAAGCTACTACAAACTTAGATTTAATTAATTTATTTTGTAAAAAAAAAAGAATTATGATGTTCATTAAACAAAAATAAATTTTTCTCACTTGTTAGCTTTAACTATTTGTCAAATAATAAGTCACTGTCAACGTTTATTGAGAAACAATTTTGAGATTATTGATTTCCACAGCAAACTATGTGAAAACGGGTGTGGCTAGTAATAAATTTTCTGTAGTCTTAACAAAAAGTCCATAGCTTGAAAATTATTAAATTTAGGTATAGGGAATATTAATACAGATCAATGCACAATTAAATTCTCCTCTATTTAGTAAAATAAAAATTGGGGTATTTCATTTGAAAAAATTGAGTTATGAGTATTTGAATTATTACAAAAGTAACCTTAAAATTTTGGGATATGTTATTTTTTTTCATAATTTGAAAACACCAGAAAAAGGATCTAAGTTTTTTCTTTCAAACGCCAAAAAAACGAATTCAAAATCTTAAAAAATGGCAGAGTTACCGATTTTTAAAGTGGAAGGTGCAGATCCAAAAATTTTTGAAAAACTCCAAATATTTCAAAAACAGCTAAATTTAAGTATAGGGAAAGCTGATGAAAACCTCCTTAAAATAACCCGATTAATCCAAAAAGGCAGTAAAAAATATATCTTTCCATTAAAAATAAGAAAGTTGAAACCGACTTCCGGTATAACCGGAAGTGCCGCCATCTTAAAAATATTTTCATTTAGAAAGACTTAATGGTTTATGGCTATGTGATAATTTTCAAATAAATACGATTATTCCAATTCCCAATACTGCTAATGTGGGGTTTAGACGGAACAGCCTATATAATAATTTTATTTCAGAACACAATCAAAAATAAAGTAGGTCAATATATGAGGAAATGTATAAAAATTTGAATCTAATAAGAATATAGTATGTAAAATATTGACATGAAAAACAAAAAACTATTTTTGGACCTTGTAATCTAAGTATTGATTTAGTTTAAGTTTTTTTTCTGGATGAATTGCTCTGAGAGTCCCTTCATTCTTTGCAAGCATTTTTTAAAATCTTTGCAAGTCGAATTAATATTTAACTCATCATAAGTGATTTTTAAGTGTAGTACATTCAGTTATGTTTTTTCAGGGAACCAAACGCAATGTTCACATTTACATACAAGAAAACTTTTTAATTTTGTTTTCGTTGCAAATGAAAATTTCAAAAACTCACACTTGGGCCTGTTTGTTCTTACGTCGGGACAAATCAGTACATAATCGTAAAACAGGACATCACAACAAAAACCTAAACATGTTTTGGCTAAATCAGGACCTTAGTGTTCATAGAACCCCTAGGGTTGCTGTCGTACCTCCGACCTGTACAGGTGGAGTGTCAGAGTAGGGATTTTATTTTTATTTACTCTTTTACGAATCTAATAAATACAAACAATTTGTTATTTTTGTACATTTGATTGATTACAAAAGTACGAGTATATTGTTAAGAAACATAAACTACAAACGATTATCTCATTTAATTCGTAATTGTTTTCCTTATATAGAATTGCAAAAGCAAACATTTCTGAGATCACAGGTCTACAACAAATAAAAACTTAAAGAAATTAAAGGAATTTGAAAGTCTCATCAACATAAACTTTGTGACATTTTTCGAACTTTGCAAACTGGGAAACTTTTTGTTACAATTTAGAACCACTGTTCACATGAATTCTGATAAATAATGTATAACATGAATTATACATAAAAGTTAGAAACGAATACAATCCAGTTCCTAAAATATACTACGCAATGATAAACAATAATTAACAATAAATATATTATGTTAGAGATGTGACTTTATTTACACACTATTGTCAACTTATGATTAGAATGAAAATTATTGTAGGTACGTTACCTTCATAAGTTAATTCCAAATGAAATTCACACTATATCAGACAAACTATAAACAAATTAAATGTTTAGCAAAGTACTGACTGTACTTAATATATTGAAAATTAGGACATGACAAAGAAAATAACACATGCGCCTCTAAGATATTCGGTAACCACTTTTACCATGTTACCACCTCTTGTCTGATCGTCTTAGATTTTTCAAATGACACTGCAACACTTCCTGGATCATTATTATAGTGACTACAACATTAAAATAAAAAACAGCAATAAAGAAGTAAAATTTGTTAAAACTTTTTATTTTTTATTAAACAAGAATCAAAAGAGATTTTGACATAATTACTAAAAACAGTTAAAAGAAGTTAGTTTATTTTTTTACCATAGTATGTAATACAAAAAAAAAGTCATTTTGAACACTGTTTTTTCGAATAAGAAAAAATACAAATTTTGGACTAATTGTCGGTAGAATTAAAAAATAAGCTAGCATTGTTCACAAATTGTTTAAAAAACAGAAACTTTAAAGTTTTGAGATTATTTGAAAATAATATTTAAAAACTTTTTCCAACAAATTTTATTAAATAACAGACAAACAATCTCTGTGTGTATTTTTTTAAATATTACTAATACAAGATTACTAGTCTTGTGATTCTAACGTCGAACCCAATATTTTTAAAAAACATAAATTTTGTTAAAAAAATAACGTGACAATCTTCATGTTTACAGTTTGGAAAAGCTTCAGATCTATATGGGGTTTTATGCTACTGATTTTCTACATAGGAATAAAAAAAATGTTTTTGTGAATATACTGGGTTTTGTTTTAGTGCCACATAACAAAAATAATGCCTTGTAATTAAATCAAAACTTTCAATCATTTATGTATACCTGTTTAGGTATTTTTATATAATTGCACGTTATTTATATAGTTAAAAGTATGATATATTTTTATGTTTTTTAAATAATGAATTAGCAAATATTTTTAGAACCTTGACGTACAAATTGTTTTCCAATTGCCAAAAAAATTAATAAGATTTATTAAAAAAGGAATAAAAAAGTATTGTAAAGTGATTACAACATAATTACCATTAGCTATTTGCCACTCAAGTTTATCAGACAATGTAAACAAAATTATATCATAGCATGTAATACATTTTTTAATGTCAACAATCTTATAATTTGAGTGTTAAAAAGTAGATATTCTTGTTGATTTTACAATGAAACACAATGAGTTGTTAATAGATACTTGAATAGAAATTGAGTAACTTCACTTGAATGTAACTTGCTTCGAAGAGTGACAATCATCATAAAATTTCTTGCTTGTGTTATGCATTACACAATACGTTATTATGAAACATTGTACCAATATTTCAATAACGATTTTTAAATAATTTTTAAAAATAAAGATAAAATCTAAATATAACTTACTTAGTGGTATTTGTTGAATAAAAACATTTTCAATATTGTAACAAAAATAAGTATCACTAATTAAAGAAAGTTGTTATAAGACACTCCACTTATTAGTATTTATTATCAAACATCGCAACTCGAAGAGGTGTAAAAAATAATGATGACTTAGACATTTAGAAAATGGGTATTGTTTACATTGCAATATGATTTGGCATACTTTGTTTTAATGTTGGAGCCACACAAAAAGACATTGTGTGAATGGTTGATTAATAACTATATGAGACAATAGATTTAATCAATAAATTTTTTTTTGAAGTTACTTATTTGGAAAAATTAATTCAGTTGTATATGAAGCAATGAAGCTTCAACTAATATTGTTTAAAGTTTACACTTTTCTTAGCTTTAGCGAATGTTGCAATTTAAATATTCACAATTTACAACTAATATCCGATTATATGACTTGGAGAATGATGAAATCTGTTGTAATACTCGAAAATTCTTTAACTAAAAGTGACAAAAAATTCCTCATTCGAGAATAGAATAATAACAATTTATTTTAGATTGCCAACCAATAAAACTGTATTTCTCTTGTTTTTCATTGTGCGATTTCTACATTTCATTACAATCACCCGTGAATTTTATGCGAAATATTGAAAATTTTATTAACCGTAAAATAGGAGTTGTGATGTTTGTTGATAATGTAAACAATAATTTTACGAATCTTTTTAACGAGGAGGTAAGACATGTTTTCTTGGAATGTTTGGATCATGTGTTAAGTTCAAAGTTTAATATCTTGTCTGTTAAATTTTTAGGTGTCTAAACATGATATTTACCGGGAGAATTTTGCATGGTTGATAATAACAAATGAAGACGAAATTGTCGATAAGTTTAGGTTCACGGTCTTAAGTTTGAACGCTGACCTAGTGATCGCAATTAACTGGAATTTTTCACGTATTAAGGTAATGATCTTTCTAAAAATATTCATAGCAACTTAGCTTTGAATATTTTTAGAAAGATTTGGTTTTATCTATTTATTTAATAAAATATGGCTAGGTAGATATATAAATGAACATTTTTTTTACATAAAAACTGTTATTTAATTAAATTTTTACAAACACATATTGTACCTAAAATATTTAAATTTTAGTAAA